TGCACAGGTAAAAGCTTACAAAAATCCGCTTCAATAAATTTTGCTCAAATTGTGTGTCTAACGGCTTTTCGCGAGCAAATTTTTAGCTAAACTGAAATCGATTGAAAATGGAATAGCAGATATATTGGAGTTTTCTGAAGTCTTGAACTCTTTTCGCGAAAAAATATTGTGCGCCACAAGCATAAAATTTAAGTAAATGCCTTCCAGTGTATCGTCATCCTAGCAGATGGAATGATGATGTAATTATTGTGACTACTCATAATTTACGGATTACAGGACCAACATAAATAGACAACGTTCATAACATATATAGACTATGTTCACTACATAAATATACAAGATTCTGGTGAGTGCATTCATTGTATAATCTTATACACTCATTGTTTATTTTCATACATTATTTACTTGCTATTTACATGACCTTTAATAATTTCGGTGCGCTTCCATATGTACCCAATAATCCTGAAAAACATTATGTACATGAAAGAATTGAGTTAAAGTGCGAAACATTATACAGTCCACATTTACAGTTCTAATGCAAATATATATAAAGTTGTTAAAACGTTTTCATTGACTTGAACTTCTTTATCAATGTTCAACTGCTCTATAAAAGGTATTTTCAGCAAATGTGAATAATAGTGAGAGTAATTAAATGTATAGTACGTAAGTAATTATACTTACTATGCTGGGTTTCTGTACTGCATTGCGAACTGATTAATTTATACTTACGTTATAAGATAAACTCAGAAACTGATGAAGCTAGACCGATATTCCTGGTACCTTTCTGGTGAAACGTTGAGTTATTGCAACTAATACTAAGGGTATGGTAGCTATAAAGGGAACGTCACTTTCACTATACCAAACCTTGAGAGTTAGTGTTGTTTGGTATAGTTGCGCTAGGCTGCAGTTCACCTAAGAAATGTTAAGCACTGATCTCCGCTGCAGTGTGGTGGTGTGGTGTATTTAATTATGGCAAAGCACACTAGGGCTATCTGCCTAAGGGGAGGGATGCCTTCGTGGAGCACTTTCTAAGGAAAACTGGATCGTATACACGTTACACATGGGGAAAATCACGAAAACACCCATGCAGCCAGCCCGTTCGCGGGATTCGAACCTCGGACCGAACTATCAGTGTTCAACGACTTCCGCTCGGCCGCTGGTGGGCCTCCGCTGCAGGGAGCAAAATGTGTTGTGCTGAAATTGCTAGAGTATTCCCGTTTTTAATATTTTCCTGCACAGAGTCTGATAATGTTGATAACGAAGAACGAACAGTTCAGAAGGTATAATCATAGCTGCATATTTTAGTTGTTCACATTCCTTTTTACAGACAAAGTTCCAAAATGAATAAAACTTTGATGTTAATGTGAGACTACCGCAATTTTGTTTTGTATTTGAATTATGTTTGAAATATGATGCGTTAGTCGCTTTTGACCTTAACTATAAGTGCGAAACACTTAGTTTCGCAACCCTTTTTGGCTGCAGCTCATAATCAACCAAAATGTGTGGATTAAAAGAAGGCGTTTCTGATCGGTGGTAAATTCACTATAGAACAGTCTTTCTTAGTGAGGAATAAGATGAATTTTATTGAGAAAATTATGCAATACGTTTTAAATTTAAAGTAAAATTATAATTATAATTATTATAAAAATAAACATAACTGAATTAATTTTGTGTTTATCTTCGTTATCAATAGTGATGATAACGAAGCTGCTGATGCTGAAATTGTGACATTATTTTCAGGCAAGTCTGGCTTTTAGTTAGTCATCTTAATGTGAATACAAGCATCTGGATTTTTGTGTTTAAACTGCTCCTATTCTTACTTAAATTAAATTTTATGTTTATAAACAATTTCTCACATTTACAAGCTGAACCGAATGAGGACAAAATGGGAAAGCCACCTTTTTGGAATTATGGATTATGAATCGGCGTTCCCAAACTTATCGATTTCTGTTTGAAATTATGTAGCAATCTTTGATTCTTAAAAATAAAAATGCATGTTCTTTACTGCAACTTTGCAATAAAACAAAACGGTATAGCTATTATATATTTTAGCTTTATTTTTTCAGGTATTCTTCAAATGCTCCTTTCATATTTATGTTTTACAATTTGCTTTCATATATGATACTTTATTTTCGAAACTCAAGTTTGTCGCTTGAAATTATGAAATGGATCACTCGATGACGTTCGGTTCCTAAGTTGCCGAGGCCTACATTACAGTAATCAGTAATTTGTATTAAGAATTATCCAATTTTTTTCATTATCAGATATATTTGCATACATTCTCTCTTTGGTTAGTTTTTCGTCACCTTTCCGTTCATGTTTTATTGACAGTGTGCCATAGGTTGGTACAGTATAGACTCTCCTGATGTAAAAATAAATATGCCTGGTATATGGAATAAGTATAACTAAATAATGAATAGATTTAAATGAATGAATGGCACTATCAAAATGTCATTAAACGTAACTAAAAAAGAGTAACTGCACAAATTACATATCTCGTAAATGTCAACTTAATTGATACATCATACTGACTTGAAATCAGGTGGTCACCGATATAAGACAATGTTTGGGTGTTTAACAATGAACAAAAAGTGATATATAATAGATGGCGTCATATATATAAATCGAAAGAATGCTCTGTAAATCGGATTTTTCCTTTATATTAAATTCAAAGTCTGACGTTTCGTAGATACTTACCTGTTCGGTTGTCTTAAAAGTTATGACGTATTTTTTAGGTTCTTTTAAAAGGTCCTCTATTTACATAACGAACAATGATCAGTCAATAGTATATTACGGTTTTGTTCGGTAATGTTTTGCTGTCTTTTAATCCTTTGACTACGAATTTAAACAAAAAATTACCTCGTTCTCTATCCAAGTGACCGCAATGTGTCATAATTAAGGTAAAGTTAGCATTTAGGATTTTTTAAGAAACGATTTTCACACCGAAGGCTCAGACACACATGCAACAGCCGTAGTTAAAACCCCCTGAGCACCACGATCGGCTTTATCCGGTCATGAGATTTTTTGTCACTTGTTATATGTTAGCTTACAATTCAGAGAAAAGCTGAACGAGGTGCTGATTTACGGCCTAATCTGAATTCATTATTGTATGACAAAAGATTATTGTACGATAAAAGAAATCTTGAAGACAACGAAACAAGTGAAAGTCTAAAGGCACAATATCAGACAAGCAGTTGATACGTTTGGCAACATTTCTCAACCAAACTCCAATAATTTTTGTCGGGTGATCAAACCTGTATGTGGTATTCCGTTAACGGGATGGAATGCAGTTTTTATATGATTAATGAGGTCTGGAGGTTTATGGAAGATGGATTCGTTGAAACTGTCCAGTTGGCGACAGCGCATATTAGAATTGATTTGTTGGCTCCCTGGTTGAAGCCCGGAAACAAGACTACACACAAGTTTGATCACTGACAACATTATTGGGAGTTTGAAGAAAACGTGTTGTCACCCGAATCGTACTCACCTGATCCTGTGTTTTCAGATTTTCACTTGTTTCGCTCTCTTTAAAATTTCTTTTGTGTACAATTTCGAATTCAGATGAGACCGTAAATCAGCATCTTGTTCAGCGTTTTGCTGATAAAGCTAAGTTCTTTTGTGATTTTGTGAGTGAGGAATTACAAAGCTCTTTAAAAAGCAAAAGGTTTTTATTACATCATTCTTAGTTTTGCTTTAGTGTAATTTTGGGTTTCATATCTTATTTTTTATGATTTCAGCTGAGACATTTTCTGGGTTTGAAAAATTTCAAAAAGGATTACAGTATGAGTTAATTGTAATTGTTTCATCGGTTTGCATTTATAAGAAATTTCATAGTTATGCTTTACTATCGAAATCAGAACAAACCCCTATTCATTGATTTTAGGATTAAAAAAATACCGATTTAACCCTGTGATGCACCCAGGTCAATGCTGTTGGCAGCTAAAAACCAATAGCATCGACAATTTCCAACAAATACGTGAAAAGCAAATGTTGGATTATTTAAGAGTGCAAGGAAAGGAAAAAGGGGAAAACTTGAAAAACTGATTTTACAAGATTAACAACCATGAAACTGATTGTGAATATATCTTTACTTTCTTACATAGATCATGCTTAAAAGTCAGACAAAAAGCACATTTATAGTAATTAACTCGAAACTAATTATAAGCAGAGCTTTATACGGTTATTAACGACGCTCTACATAAATCACATAAATAATATGTAAATAACATAAAACTTGCGTCAGAATATCACACCCGTTGAAAGAAGTCCTTTCCAAGTTTACAGTTCAATGCTAAAAGTTTCATTTAGAGTCTTAATTCCATTTTATGGAATTTCAGAGTTTTTTCCTTTAGACATGATATGACGATAGAAAACTTCCGAATAGCAGAATCTTACCAACATAACTTGTGCATTGTCAATAATTAATTTGTCAGCTACGGCAATGATATGAAGTGCTGGAGACTTTTATCGGAGGATGTATAAAATAGAAGATGTATCTGGTGCCAAAACATTTTCCACAATAGCATGCCAATTCCATTGAGGCTCAATTTGTTTGATCAAGCAAAATTCTGATCAGAATTTCGTTTAGTTTTTTTTCATATGTCGAAACAGGTTTTCGTACAAATGTAAGTAACATACACATTTTTCTTAATCTTATAAGTAACTATTTTTTAGAAACGAAAAGCTAAGAATATATGACACATCATTTTAACTTACGTGCCCGAGTTGATTAACCTAATAAACTTATGAACAAAGTCTACATAATAAATTAGGCACAATGCATTTAATGATTTGGAAGCGATGCATTTTAAAGTTATGTGGAATAAGATTTCACAATGGAATTTAAATTAATTTCCACCGAATAAAACACAAGTAAGGGCATATGTGTATTAATAAAAATTTGTCTTCTTATTGCTACAATTGAAGACTGACTTCCCCCCCCCCCCCCCCCCCCCCCCCCCCCCCCCCCCCCCCCCCCCCCCCCCCCCCCCCAATTCTAATTGCCACAGAAAAAAAAAAAAAAAAAAACTCATTTTACCTGATGGTAAGATTTGTTTTAGCATAGTAAATGTTTTGTCTACTTGTAAAATGTTTGATATTTTCGTAACATAATTGGTAATTTTCGTCTTGTGCAGTTCATTAACATTTCATCGTGATGCAAATTAAATGAAATGGGATAATATTCGACAAGCATATGTTGCAGAATAAATATTACATATTCACAAATAACTACACAAATAAAAAGTTAACATTAAACGCATTTCTGTCGGTACATTTTGCAAGTATCATGTTACTTTGAGAAAACATCAGTATGGAATGTGAATTGACTAAACCAATACTTTTCTTGGGTCTCTGTCGAATATTCAGTGAAGCTCTAGGCCGAAATAAAATAACACTGATATAAAAATCATGAAGTCACACTGCTGGTAAATATTTTTAAGTATGAAATAATTTAAACATCTGATTAAACCTCAGTATTCATCACACAAAGTTATTTACTTTTTCCTCAAACATCACTATATGAAATCACGTGATAAATGCACGTGCCCAGCAGAGGATATAAAATGTCCAACAGCACCACCAGATGTGCCATGTGAACCTCATTTCCAATTTTTGCGCGAAGGAATCATGAACGTGAGCTGAAGGGCACTCAATCACTTGTCGCTGAAAGGCTTGTTTCCTTCTCCTTTCACAGTCATTCCTTTGAGGCCCTATGCAAGCCGCATAGGCCATCGCATGAGGTATGTATGTTTGTTCCAAAACTCCACGGAAGAGATGAGCCATAGGTCCATGAGCGTACACTGGGACGTCTTCGCCACCATGAGTATCCCATCTTCGAGGAACAGCACTTTGTTGTACATAGTTCTTTTCTTCTATAAAAAGGCAATTTTAGGGTTAATTATTGCAAAATATAACAGTTTTTTTAAAAAGACATATAATTAAATTATTTAGCAAATTTTTTATATGTGAAGATAAAGTGTCTGAAGAAAGAAATCATTTGAAAATTAACCGAACACTTGCCCAGAGACCAATTCGCTCTCTCCAATCCATATACTGTCTTTTACATCATAACGCCGTATATAAGGAGGATGACTATGATTACTTTCATTCTTCCCGATATAAAGATCAAATATTTGGCGGACGGTTTCAAGTCGAGAAACTCAGTTTGATGAAGAAAGAATTATTATCCAGAGTGATTTTTTAGGATGCTACGTATAGAGAAGAAAATAGCGTATGAGGAAGGTGTGACTGGAAAATTTCACAATATCATTGTCGTAGATTGAAACTTGGAGCCTTCAGATAACCGACTCTATGTGCTATTCATTGCATCCTAGCAGCAAGGGAGATGCCTTAAGTTTGTATAGGCAGAATTATAAAAATGTGCAGATACCCTCTGCTTTTAATTGTTCATGCTCTACATTTCAGCCATTTCATTCATAAATGGGACTCAAGTATTGTATAATGGTCAGCTATTTTCATCCGTTTCGTCATGTCCTTTATCTTAAACTTAAGTTTTAATCAGTTTACTGTATTTTTATAATCATAAAGTACGTTATGCAGAGTTACTATAAAACACTTCTTAAAATGTAAAGGTAGAAATAAGATTTTATTACGCAAGTGAATACGGCAAAGGAGCACTGAGGTGATGAAATGCGCTGTTGACATTGGTAAGGAAAAAAAGTCCTTTAGCATTAATCGTTATTCTCCTTGCGATTTTCGAGTCGTATGCATCATTAATAGGAACGCGTAATCGGCTGATATGTATTTTAGTTACAAGGCTGTGAATTGAAACTGAGCAATTACTTAAAGAGTGCATAGAGAATGGTTATCAAGTAGATAGCTGCTGAATCGCTAAACGGTCAAATATAAGATGCTGGCCATTAAAGTCGCTACGCCAGGAAAAAAATCAAATAGCAGAATCTTATTTATTGCACATATACAGTGTAATGGGAGAAGGCATGCTTAAATTTGCATGTAATTTTCGGTACAGTGTGAAGAATTCAGTTCACAGAGTTGCAAGCTCTGAAAGCAAGAACAACCGCAATCCGTCTGAGCATCGAATCGAACTGAGCTTGAATAACAGATACGGGCATTTCATTCCATTGCAGCTTCAACTCTATGTTAAAGTTCATTAGTTAAAGAAGCTGTACCAATTTCTCACAGTCATGACCAGATTTCTCAGTGAATGAGAGACCTGCGAAAGATATGATCCAAGGAAACAATCTAACACTTTCTGTATCGAGGAACTGTAACAGTTCAGGCAGCATGTTGTCGTGCACTATCTTGTTGAAAGATGGCATCACGCAGGTCTCAAAGACAGGGCACAATTACGAGTGTTAACACATCAATCATAACAGTAGCTATCCATATTACCAGCTATATGAAAAAGAGGTGGCCGGGATGTTTACCCATTTGTACCCCATACCAGCACACCAGCTGTTGAGCCCTTATGACGACGACAAATGCGAGGCGGCAACATTCGCTCTCCTCGATGCTTCCACACACGGATACGTCTACTGTGATGCTATGCATTGATCCGGAATTCATTTGAAAAGATGATGTGACGCCACTGTGGTGGTGTCGTTGACCGTCGCACCATTATAAGTGCGTCTGTGTCTGCTACAGCGTCAAGGAAAGCCGCATAATTGGCCATGTGCTGTCAGGTTGTCGTGCTGCAGATGTCAGCATACTGTCCGTGAGGACACTTGTCGTCCTGAACTAAGTTCATGACTCAGGCTTTGTGAGGTTGCTGTACGATCCTGCAAGATCGAGAGGTCTGTAATCTCGGGCTTAGGGCACAGAGACTGTTGAGATTTTGTATAACGCTCTGTATGGTCCTCTTGGATCTATGGATTCCATATTCACCTAATAGATATGGCATCCGAAACAGTACGAGCAGAAACGTTTTGGAAATATAAACCGCAATCCCGATACTGCAGCTGTGCGATTTCGTCACGACTGTTGCGATGTTCTCTTTCTTACACGGGGCATAATATGAACTTTACACAAACAAACAACGTTAAAATGCCATTTCCGAATAAGAAACCCGCTGTTGTATTCTTCAGACTTATATAAAATATAGATGACGTTACTTATATTTGCTTTGTGAGCATGAGGTGCAATGTTAATCATCTGCATATCCCAGCATGCAAAATTGACAGGCGTTGGATATCGCTTTCGTGATTCGACATTTTCACGGCCAGTAATGTATTAACCGCTATTGCGAATCTCATGTCTACCAGCCTGATGATTGCGCACTTTGGCACTTAGTGTAAAAAACTGAATTATTAAAATGTTTGTTTCTTGATCTACCGTTTCCTTTATCTGCTATTGAAACCTTTCTTACGTGCTAGCACTTATACGCGCCATTTCACACAAAATGTTATTACAAAATAGGCTTAACTTAGCCGTCTTTGCCCTCTTTATGATTTTGTCTAGCATTTTAGCATCCCTATGAATAGATTACGCATGCACTGCGTTTTTCTATAAGATTTTAACGATCAAAACCCAATTTAATACATATATATGAACGTGTATATAAGTTAAAAGAAAATTCTTAGTGCTTTCGCTAAAACGTACCTTAGATTCTGTGGTCCGGGTGAAAAATTTTAACTTAAGTAAAATAAAGTGCAATGAAAAGTGTAAACATTAAATAAACAATATTATTACTAGAATATTTACAAATAAAATTAAAATCTAATTGTAAGTAACGTGTATAACGTATACGTGTATGGGTCTGGGTCATAATCCCGACAAGCCAGAATCCCGACTGTCCAAAACCCCGACAACCCAAAGTCCCGACACGGTCGAAATCCCGACAGGGTCAAAATCCCGACAGGGTCAGAATCCCGACTGTCCAAAATCCCGACAAGTTAATATCTAAATACAAACACTCAATTTAGCTTAATAAAATACAATTTTAACTAACTATTACATATTACTAATTAAAAGTTTAAATCAAAAAATCATAAAAATTATGTCATTACTTAAAATAATTTTTAACAACTTGAAATGACCGTTAAAATTTGAAATGAAGATTTATAAAATTATTTTTATTAAGAAAAAGAAAACATCACTTACACATGCAAACGACATATTTACAGTGACACATTGTGAGCGATACCACGAAGATATTCCATCACAGGTCGATTATCACGATCGTCCACAACAGTCATAATTCTCCTTTCTTTGTCATCATCTACCTTTCTACGTTTTGGTTGTTGTTCTCCGCGAAGAATGCATTCAACTTGGTATTCCAAATGCTCCTGTTCTTTTTGAAATCATTCTATGATGTTATAAACGACAACATGGCCCGTCCAATTAAGGTCTCCCATCTTCTGTGCCAAGCCTCGACAGCATTTTGAGTGCGCGGAGCTCCCAGTCGTAGGGAACCAAACACGTTCCAGAGTGCTGGTGGGAACATCGGAGGAACGCGAACGGCAATACCATTACGCAAACGGCGCCGCATTCTTCCACGAACGTAGTTGTCTTCGAACCACTGAACGACGTCTTGAGCATCGGGTGCCAAGTGAGGAAGTAAAGTGTCAAATGCTGCTGAAATTTCGTCAGCTGGTATAAACGCTAACGCAAATAAATGACGAAGCATTAAACTAAATGTTTTATCTGTGCCGTAACGAGAAGCCAATCAATCCACTCGATTGGATTTTTCTCCAACCACACTGACACAGATGGAAAAAACAAGCCTTATTAATAACGTCAGGGAACTCTGATTTTGAAGCATTTATAGCTGCCTTTTCTAGATCACTAATGATTCTAGATGGCCTCAGTTCAATATTATTTTCTTCAGCGAAATCAATTAAATCTTGTAATAATCTTTTGTAATTTTCTTCAGATTTGCTAGTCATCAAAGCATATACTAGTGGAAGAATTCTAAAATTTTGAGATCCAACAGGTGCGTGAATTGTATATAGCTGGTAAAATATTGTGGGCACCGTTTTAAATGTGCCGTCCATAATCCAATAAGGTGCCTGTGATAAATGTTTAACATTTGCAAACTGTTGTAAACATTAGAATTCTCTCATCTCCAACTGCAGAATCTCTCACTAAAAATAATTCACCAGTTAAAGTATTTCTTAAAGTAGCTGGAATATCAATTTCATTCAATGATTTTTGGTTCTGGTGGCCTTTCGTTTTGCCTGACCCGTTTAATTTTTTTTTTCCGAATAGCTTCTTTTGATGGAAGGTATGGCGAATGTTCTGAGAGGTTTTTACGATGTTGCTTTGAATTATCTGACACGGTTCACTTCCGGTATGCCGAGCATCTTCTTTCAATTGGCTAATACATTTTGCGATAGCAGCTGCACTCGCTTGTGGAGCATGGTTATGCTGAGTAAATTTACGGAGATGATGTTGTCCATTCAGAAATATTGTTGTTACTCGACCTTTGCACATATCGTATTTTCTTTTTTCACAACACCAATAATATAAATCGTCGCGATTCTTATCTTTCACCATTAAATAACCACGTGCATTAATTTTATTGCTTCCTTTTTGAGACGGCACAATTTCACAAATTTCAGCCATATTTTGGAACAACTTAATGAGCAAAAAATAAACCGGCAAGTGAGCACTGTCTATCTCGAGGCGAACGCAACCCTATATCATGTAGAAAGCCTAGAGCTGTATCATTTCGTCATTGTGAAATAGTTCCTCACATAGATTATTGTGAAATAGTTCCCTCTTTCTCCTATTCACATAGATTATAAAAGGCCTAAAAGATAAAAAATGACCTTCGCGTGAGGTCAGCCGACCCTTTGCCATTAAGATGTCCTTCCGTAAGCAGCTGTGGAAGTATCTTAAGGGGTCATTAGGCCTTATTGGGATTTCGCCCGTGTCGGTATTTTGACCCTGT